GCCTCCTGAGTACTCTGGTCCCGCCTCCTGAGTCCCTGAAACCCCCTGCCCCCTCCTGACCCCCTGCCCCCTCCTGAGAACCCCTAAGCCCCCTCCTGACCCCCTGCCCCCTCCTGAGAACCCCTAAGCCCCCTGCCCGCCCCTGTTCTGAGCCCCCTGCTCCCCTCCCAAGCCCTCTCCTGACCCCTCCTGAGCCCCCTCCTGAGCCCCCTGCCCCCTCCTGAGCCCCCTGCTGCCCCCTCATCCCCCTCCTGAACCTCCTGCCCCCTCCAGAGGCCACCCAAGCCCCTTCCCCCCCCTGAGCCCCTGCTCCCCCTGCCCCCTCCTGAGGCCCCACCTCCTCCTGAGCCCCCTACTCCACTCCCTGCAGCCCAGCCCCCCAATTTCCCCCCACCCCACTCTCTGTAGCCCATCACCACTCCTGAGCCTGCCGCCCCCTCCTCAGCCCCTCAACCTGCTCCCTGCAGCCCATTGCCCCTCCTTAGCCCCTGTCCCCTCATGGACTGATCCCAGCCCCTCAACTGATCTCCTGGCTCCCCCGCCAGCCCCCCAGCACAGTCCCCATGCTGGTCCCCCCCCCAGGATAGAGTCACCAGCACTAGAATAAAATCCAACTCTGTTTATTGGTGGGTCATTCTGGTTTTACACCCCGAGACGCAGGGCGGGTCGGACAGACAGAGAGACCGACAGCCCCCCTGCCAGGCCCCTACAGAAGCCATCGGTGGCCCCCTCCCAGACCCAGCCGACGGTGGCTCCTGGGCGAGCCCAGTGCAGCAGGGCCTGATTCCGGGGGTGGGGGGGAGAACTCCCTGTGCCCACCTCCAAGCCCCTCACACCCAGCCCCACTGAGACACCACCGGTTCCGGGCACCAGGGGGCGGGTGCCAGGATCCCAGCCCTCGGGGTGGGGGGGGGTCTCTGTGTTCGGGGGGTCTTGCCTGCTAGCCCCCGAGACAGGAGCCTGGGGGAGGGGTCTGCCTTGGACATGGGGGCAGGCAGGGTGTGGTCTGTGGCACTGGGAGCCGGAGGTGGAGAGAAAGTGGGTTGGACTGAGGGGGCAGGAATGGGGGAGTCTCCCCCCAGTCTCCCCCCCCCTTTTCCTGGGACCCTGCCCAGAAAAATGCCAGGCTGAGCCAGGAGGGGCCACTGTGCCACCCCTAGGGGCCATGAGGGGGCTAGGCCCCACTGAGTTTTTGTGAAGCCGGGGCCCCATATCGCTTGGCTGGATCCCTGTTTCCCCCCCCCCCCGCCCATTGGTACAAAGTGGTGGGGGGGCCAGTTTGGGTCTGGTGCCTTCAGGGGCCGTTCTCCCAGCATCCCACAAACCAGTGTTCCCCCCTGCCGCCCAGCATGCCCACCATTGGGCAATCCCTTGCACACTCAGCCACAACCAGTGTGCGAACAGGCTCACGCTCAGTGCACATTCACCTGTGTATGCTCACACTTACACAAACACTCATTACACACACACTCCTCTAATACTCCCACTCACAGATCACACACACTAATGCATGTACTCACACACACACACACAAAAACACACACAGGAATGCACACACAGACACAAATGCATGTACTCACACAAATGCACACACAGACAAATGCATGTACTCACACACACAGGAATGCACACACAGACACAAATGCATGTACTCACACACACACACACAAAAACACACAGGAATGCACACACAGACACAAATGCATGTACTCACACACGAAAACACACAGGAATGCACACACAGGAATGCACACACAGACACACATACTCTTCTCAGCTCTCCCCTCCCTGTGCTCCCCCCCCCCCCCCCAGCTCACTGACCTGGGTACTGGATGCGGAAGACATGGACGGTGCCGTTGCTCAGCGCCACGGCGAAGTGCCCGTCCCCGGTGACGGTGGCCACCCGGGCTCTCTCGCTGCCGTGCCGGGCGGTGAGGAAGGGCCCCAGCGCCTCCCCGCCCGGCCTGAATGCCGTCACCTTGTACAGCTCCTGCAGGGCCACGTACAAATGGCCCCCGTCGTCGGCGCAGACGGCCCCCGGCTGGCACCGCTCCTCGCCCTCCTCCGCCAGCAGCTGCCCACGGCCGTCAAACGCCACCCCGCTGCACCGGTGCCAGTCCGAGGGGCCTCACCAGAGCGCATCCACGCCAGCAGCTCGTGCATCGGCACACAGAGCAGTGCACGGTGGGTGGCTATCCCCCTGTGCCACCGGCCGCAGGGTCTTTTGGGAAGGGTTTGCAGGGTCCCATGGGCCTGCGTAGCATCACGAGGCGGGTTTCTCTGTCCCTTCATTCCGTGGGCATCTGACTCGATCGCCAGCTGCTCTTCACCTGCAATGAGCGTGGCGGGGGAGAGTGTGTGTGTGTGGGGAGAGAGCGTGTGCGCGCGGGGGGACTGTGTGTGTTGGGGAAGAGCAAGTGTGTCGGCATGCTGTAAGTTCAGAGAGCTGCTGGAAGCAACCAGTCCTGAGGCAGGGGGAGGGGGACAGCCTCAACGTCAGCCCCCACTTCCCTCACTGGATCAACACAGCAGTCTCTCTCTCTCTCTCTCTCTCTCACACACACACACACACACACACACTGCTGCCTGCCTAGCTCTGTGTTAGGGGCACCAGAACAGGGGGGTTTCGAGGGCCCCACACTCTTTACTGGCTGTTAGGACAAAATGAGGGGCCATTGGGGGATACTAGTGGAGACCAGTTATGGTAATATAAGGAACAGCAGCGTTTACACGGGTGCTTTCTTGCTTTAAGTTTACCTCAAAAAGCTCTTGGCCTTTCACTGAGGTGGTTTTATTTGGTCACCAAAACAGGGCAGTTTTGTCACCAGAAGTGGCACTGAAGTGTGTACACCAGCCAAAAGCTGCTGACCAAGGGAGCGTAGGGTAAACATGCAATACCGATTTTCCTATCATGCTTTCCGATTGTCGACACATTTTTTCCGACAATACGCTGCAGGCTCTATTGGAATCACTGATGTGCTGGAGATATGAGTGGGAAAGGGACTGTCTGAATTGTCATGGCACAGAATGAACAATCTACAACAATGTCACTAACCACAGACATACTCGAATCAAGAACATAAGAACGGCCATACTGGGGAAGACCAAAGGTCCATCCAGCCCAGTATCCTGTCTGCCAACACTGGCCAATGCCAGGTGTCCCAGAGGGAGTGAACCTAACAGGTAATGGTCAAGTGATCTCTCTCCTGCCATCCATCTCCACCCTCTGACAAACAGAGGCGAGGGACACCATTCCTTACCCATCCTGGCTAATAGCCATTCATGGACTTAGCCTTCATGAATTTATCCAGTTCTCTTTTCAACTCTGTTATAGTCCTAGTCTTCACAACCTCCTCAGGCAAGGAGTTCCATAGGCTGACTGTACACTGAGTGAAGAAGAACTTCCTTTTATTTGTTTTCCCATGAATTTCATTTGGTGGCCCCTAGTTCTTATATTATGAGAACAAGTAAATAACTTTTCCCTATTCGCTTTCTCCACACCACTCATGATTTTATACACCTCTATCATATCCCCCCTTAGTCTCTTTTCCAAGCTGAAAAGTCCTAGCCTCTTTAATCTCTCCTCATATGGGACCCGTTCCAAACACCTAATCATTTTAGTTGCCCTTTTCGGAACCTTTTCTAATGCCAGTAGATCTTTTTGAGATGAGGGGCCACATCTGTACAAAGTATTCAAGATGCTGGCGTACCTTGGATTTACATAGAGGCAATATGATATTTTCTGTCTTATTCTTTATCCTTTTTTTAATGATTCCTAACATCCCATTTGCTTTTTTGACTGCCGCTGCACACTGCATGGACGTCTTCAGAGAACAGTCCACGATGACTCCAAGATCTTCCTCCTGATCAGCTGTAGCTAAATTAGTCCCCACCATATTCTATGTACAGTTGGGGTTATTTTTCCCAATGTGCATTACTTTACATTTATCCACTTTAAATTTCATTTGCCATTTTGTTGCCCCATCGCTTAGTTTTGTGAGATCTTTTTGAAGTTCTTCACAGTCTGCTTTGGTCTTAACTATCTTGAGCAGTTTAGTATCATCTGCAACCTTTGCTGCCTCACTTTTTACCCCTTTCTCTGGATCATTTATGAATAAGTTGAATAGGATTGGTCCTAGGACTGACCTTTGGGGAACAGCACTAGTTACCCCTCTCCATTCTGAAAATTTATTTATTCCTACCCTTTGTTTTAATCTTTCAAAGGAGGACGAGGTAAAGAAGTAATGTAAATGCATAAAACACAACAGAAAACTAAGGTCTGGTCTACACTAAAGACATTTTTTTGGATAACTATATTGCTCAGGGGTGTGAAAAATCCACACAGCTGAGCAACACGGTTACACAGCCCTAACCCTCTGTGTAGATAGGGCTACAACAGCAGGAGAGTTTCTCCTGCCAACATAGCCACCACCACTTGCGGTGGCTGGACTACAAGACCGACAGGAGAGCTCTCTCCCATTGGCTTATAGTGTCTGTAATACCAGTGCTAGAGAAGAGCAGCTACATCAGCTTTATTGTGTACCCATCGCATCAGACAAAACCATAGAATGGGGGCTCAATATGCATGTATCCTGAAGTCTGAAATTGGAGCCTGACAAATTCATTGCCTTGTTGGTTACCATCATTTCTACAGCCTGAAAGTCCTTATTACCCAATCAGGCAGCCAGTTTGGGATCCATGGGGAAGGAATGTCCTATGAAGCACTCTCTCTTTGCATCCAAACAGGGAAGGATGACTGTTCTCAATCTAACCCTGGCATCCTTTGGAACTGTAATCAGAGACACTGCACTAGGAAGTGGAGTCGTACAAACAATTTTCCTTGGGTCATTGGTCACCAGAGCTTCCTTTACTGGGGTGGAAACAAAGAACTGGGTGTGGACTCTTTCAACCCCAGTTCTTTCCCAATCCTTGGACTTGGTGAACGTAAAATTTACACTTCTCTGAAGTAGAATCCTTTACAAAACCACTCAAAATCTCAGCAGTGTTAGTGAGGAATGGCTTCCCAAACCATGCCCAGCTTTTCTTTAATTCGGTAGCACAGGTCCAGGCAAGGGACTGGATACAGGGCTGGATCAGAATCTCCATTAGTTACTAGAGCTGGAGTTTCTATTCAAAAATAGCTATTTTTCTGAATCTATTACATTTTCAACACTGATTTCATTTTATACACATCTTCAACACCTACAAAGGATAAATTCAACAAAAAACCCACTTTAATTTCCTCAACATCTTCGTCATGAAGGGTTGCATTTCCCATACCATAGGATTAGCTAGGAGAGATCTTCTGTAGGGCCTAGGTTACAAGTGCTTTGGGAACCAAACACATGGGCATTTAGCCTAGTTCAAAATCACTTACCATTGAATTCTCTCCCCAGATCATCTGAGACAATATTGTCTTAAACAATTGCACTACACTGTGACCATATGCACTTCCTTCAATTAGTTGGGGTTCTGCTGTTCACCGTTTCCGAGTGGAGATTTTAAAGCACGGCTGTGTCTTTGTTAGCATGTCCAGTAAATTGGAGAGTTCTCTCTTATTGACAGAACTGCACTTGAACCTTCTCCATGTCGTCATGGAGGGATGGGGAAAAAGCAAAGCTAAAGTGATAAATGAGGACTTTATCAAATGGTCATTTGTCTTAAATTCTCCAATAATTCTGGGCTACATCCTGTCAGAACTGAATACCCAATTGGGTGGCCAAAAAGCCTTCAGGAAAGATAGAAACCCACATCACAGAGAGAGAGAGAATAAATGACAATGAAAGTGTCAAGTGAAATTCCAGAGCAGGTTACATCGGATTATTCAGAATCAGAACAAGAGATTCTCCCATCACATTCTCCTCTGATCCATTCAAACCTGCTTCACTCAGCACTGTCTCAATGGTCAGTTATGTTATTTACAAAAATTTTAGTATCCTAGCATCCCCATAATGAGGGGAAAACAGCCACCTTGCCAGAAGTGGCTTTACCAATAGATGGAACCTGGGATTTAAACTCCAAATGATCACACTGTTTGGGATCCATTTGAATTCCCCCTTCCAGGTCTTTGACACTTTCATCTCCAGTCATAGCAACTCTGATATAGGATTAAAGAAGTCAAAGTATCGTCTCCAAGCGCAGACAACAGAGAATGCTTCATCACTGGGGAGTGACAGCTCAGTGGTTTGAGCATTGGCCTGCTAAACCTAGGGTTGTGAGTTCAATCCTTGAGGGAGCCATTTAGGGATCTGGGACAAAAATGGGAGTTTGGTCCTGCGTTGAGCAGGGGGGTTGGACTAGATGAATCATAGAATCATAGAATATCAGGGTTGGAAGGGACCCCTGAAGGTCATCTAGTCCAACCCCCTGCTCGAAGCAGGACCAATTCCCAGTTAAATCATCCCAGCCAGGGCTTTGTCAAGCCTGACCTTAAAAACCTCTAAGGAAGGAGATTCTACCACCTCCCTAGGTAACGCATTCCAGTGTTTCACCACCCTCTTAGTGAAAAAGTTTTTCCTAATATCCAATCTAAACCTCCCCCACTGCAACTTGAGACCATTACTCCTCGTTCTGTCATCTGCTACCATTGAGAACAGTCTAGAGCCATCCTCTTTGGAACCCCCTTTCAGGTAGTTGAAAGCAGCTATCAAATCCCCCCTCATTCTTCTCTTCTGCAGGCTAAACAATCCCAGCTCCCTCAGCCTCTCCTCATAAGTCATGTGTTCTAGACCCCTAATCATTTTTGTTGCCCTCTGCTGGACTCTCTCCAATTTTTCCACATCCTTCTTGTAGTGTGGGGCCCAAAACTGGACACAGTACTCCAGATGAGGCCTCACCAATGTCGAATAGAGGGGAACGATCACGTCCCTCGATCTGCTCGCTATGCCCCTACTTATACATCCCAAAATGCCATTGGCCTTCTTGACAACAAGGACACTGCTGACTCATATCCAGCTTATGGTCCACTGTCACCCCTAGGTCCTTTTCCGCAGAACTGCTGCCTAGCCATTCGGTCCCTAGTCTGTAGCGGTGCATTGGATTCTTCCATCCTAAGTGCAGGACCCTGCACTTATCCTTATTGAACCTCATCAGATTTCTTTTGGCCCAATCCTCCAATTTGTCTAGGTCCTTCTGTATCCTATCCCTCCCCTCCAGCGTATCTACCACTCCTCCCAGTTTAGTATCATCCGCAAATTTGCTGAGAGTGCAATCCACACCATCCTCCAGATCATTTATGAAGATATTGAACAAAACCGGCCCCAGGACCAACCCTTGGGGCACTCCACTTGATACCGGCTGCCAACTAGACATGGAGCCATTGATCACTACCCATTGAGCCCGACAATCTAGCCAGCTTTCTATCCACCTTATAATGCAGTGACCTCCTGAGGTCCCTTCCAACCCTGATGTTCTATGATTCTATGATCACATGACACTTTGAGAAGTGGAGGGATAGAATGTGATGAAGATAAACTCTGCCTGGCTCAGACAGGAGGTAACAGTTCTGCAGTGATGGGGAAGGAGGGAATCTCTGAGAAACCCCGTCTCCTTCCAGTGTCACAGAAGCTGAAATTATACTTTTTTTCCCACCCCTGCTCCTCTTCATTTACATGTAATTTGAAAAGTTCCCAATATAACTGCTCCTCAGCACAACCCAGAGCAACGTGAGAACTGGCAATGATAGAGTCACCAATGATACAGATTTAACAATAACTTTGCAATAGGAGGAAGGGTATAAATGTGATGCTCCCTGGTTCCTGATAGGAAGGGCACACTCAAATTACTTATGGGACAATAGAAAGGACAAATGGGTCCACCACAAAAGAGGGCGAACTGCAAAAGGCAAAAATGGCCCACTCATATGGACAAGTTGAGGGATAATGGTACTGCAAACAGCTCAAACGGCTTTAAAAGTTACTGTGTGTGGGAATCAGGAAAAGTATTAAAGGGAAAAAAAGTACGGATAGCCCTAGAGGTTTTTATGTGGTTGATCTCCCTTGCAGATTCTCTGATGGCTAACATGGGCTGAGTGCCGAGAGAAGGTATTCCCACACTCAGTGCATTCATAGGGCCTCTCACCTGTATGGATTCTCTGATGAGCAGAAAGGGCTGATCTTTGAGTGAAGCTTTTCCCACACGCACTGCATTCGTAGGGCCTGTCCCCTGTGTGGATTCTCTGATGAACAGAAAGGGCTGATCTGTGAGTGAAGTTTTTCCCACACTCAGTGCATTCATAGGGCCTCTCCCCTGTGTGGATTGTTTGATGACTAATAAGGTGCGAGCTGCATTTGAAAGTTTTCCCACATTCACTGCATTCGTAGGGCCTCTCCCCTGTGTGGATTCTCTGATGAAGAGAAAGGGCAGATCTGTGAGTGAAGTTTTTCCCACACTCAGTGCATTCATAGGGCCACTCTCCTGTGTGGACGCTCTGATGACTAATAAGGTGCGAGCTGCAACTGAAGGTTTTCCCACACTCACTGCATTCGTAGGGCCTCTCCCCCGTGTGGATTCTCTGATGGTGAAAAAGGCGTGACCTGTGAGTGAAGCTTTTCCCACACTCACTGCACTCATAGGGCCTGTCCCCTGTGTGGATTCTCTGATGAACAGAAAGGCCTGAGCTTCTAGTGAAGCATTTTCCACACTCAGGGCATTCATAGGGCCTCTCCCCGGTGTGGACTCTCTGATGGTTAAAAAGGCCTGATCTTTGAGTGAAGCTTTCCCCACACTCACAGCATTCGTAGGGCCTCTCCCCTGTGTGGATTCTCTGATGACTAATAAGGTGCGAGCTGCGATTGAAGCTTTCCCCACACTCAGGGCATTCATAGGGCCTCTCCCCTGTGTGGATTCTCTGATGTTGAAAAAGGCCTGATCTCTGAGTGAAGCTTTTCCCACACTCCCTGCATTCATAGGGCCTCTCATCTGTGTGGGTTCTCTGATGTTTAGAAAGATGTGAGCTGCTAGTGAAGCTTAACCCACACTCACGGCATTCGTAGGGCCTCTCCCCTGTGTGGATTCTCTGATGAACAGAAAGGGCTGATCTGTGACTGAAGTTTTTCCCACAGTCACTGCATTCGTAGGGCCTCTCTCCTGTGTGGATTCGCTGATGAGTAATAAGGTGCGAGCTGCGACTGAAGGTTTTCCCACACTCACGGCATTCGTAGGGCCTCTCCCTTGTGTGGATTCTCTGATGTTGAAAAAGGCCTGATCTTTGAGTGAAGCTTTTCCCACACTCCCTGCATTCATAGGGTCTCTCCCCTGTGTGGATTCTCAGATGAACAGAAAGGCTTGATCTGTGAGTGAAGCTTTTCCCACAGTCACTGCATGTATTGCTCTTTCCCCTCAGGATTTCCTGCTGGGTTGTGGTTTCCTTGAGGCCCTTCCGAGTTCCCCAACAGGAAATAAATTTACCCACTTTCTCCCCTGGCTGGTTTCCTTGCTCTCTTTCTGGTCTGTGCTGAATCTCACAGGACTTTCCCTGCTCATGACTCCTGAACACATTCTGGTTTGGTCTTTGCGATAAGTCTCTGTGTTTATCCACTTGCTCAACATTTTCCTGCTGAGAATTCTGCTCCTCTTTCTCACATACCATTGCATCACCTGCTGTGGCAGAGACAGAAACCCCAAACAGGGATGGAAAGGGGAAGACCAAACCAAAAAGAGTGCTGAAGACAGGTCAAATAAAAATCAGGGACTGAACTCCCCCAAAATCTTCCCCCAAATAGGAGAGGGAAGGGGGATCAATTCAGCCTTCACATCCCATTCCAATTCTCAGGGGAAAGGGAGGAAGCTACTGCCTGGTGTCTGCTAGGACCTACAGAAAGCCATGAGCTATATTTACCCTGAGGATACAACCCCTGCTAGGGACAATAATGAAATGAGAGACCACCCAAGGGCTTTTTAGGACATCCCAGATGTCTCCTTGAAGCACTTAAAGATTCTGAGTTGGTTTAATGTTTCCTCACCTGTGTAGGGTGCTCTCAGGATCTCTTTTTCCTCCGAACCCTGGAGGTCTGGGACACATGGCTCTTCCCCTTGTTCCAGCCAGGAGATCACATCAGGTTGGGAAACTGGAAACCCTGCTCAGATGAAAGAAAACAAAGGAGTTCAATTGATTTCATAAAAAATATTCTATTAATTTAACTTCAGTACTTAGTGTGACCTGGTGTGCCATGGGCAGTCCTCACTGAAAATGCCAAGGTCAGGGGAGGCTGAAAAAGGGAGAGCAGATGCTCCTAAAACTGGTGATTAACACTGAAGTTAAATTCACCGACCAGTCACAAACATTGCTTCCGATCACCCACACTGGTCATCGAGAAGCTGAAAAAAGAAATCACACAGCCCCCTTTATTGCATTCCAGTTCTCTGACTCCCAATCAACACCTAAGTCCAGTATAGTGAGAGGTTATTTAAAAACTCTGCGCAGACAGACAAAATGTTCTTCTGACCCCAAAGGGTCAGCCACAGTACCAGGTCACTATAGGTTTGGATCTTACCCAAATAACATGCTGCCAGCCAAACCTTTAGCATCTAAACTAAAGGTTTAAATGAAAGACAGACAGAAAGAAGTTAAATGGAACAAGCAGTCAGATACATTCCGAAATGAATATATCAAGTTCTTAGCAGTATTGGTGAGTTGCTGGCTTGAAAGTCCGTCTGGAACGCATCCACAGCTTGCATGGGTCATTCAGTCCTTTGTTCAGGCTTCAGTTTGTAGCGAAGTTGGTCCAGAGATAGGAAGAGGGATTGAAGACAAAATGGAGATGATACAGCTGCCTTTATATTCCTTTTGCCATGTGGCTTGTACTTCCTGTGTCCCAAACACAAGCTTTGCAGCACATGGCATGGAAAGGCCTTGGAGTTCTCAGTACACAGGCATACCCCTGCATGTCTTGGTGACTCAATAGGTGTATCCCCTTGGTCCTTTCCACGGGCTCATTGTACAGCTGATGACCCTGGATGGACCATCGAACAGGCTAGGCAGTGCTGAGGCCAATATGTCTGGGTGTGTCACCCAGAAACACTGCACAAATCTGGAAATACAGATATACCCTACATATCTATAACTCACAATACAAAGGTGATACAAACAGAACCAAAATTATCATACTTGAAAAATCATAACATTTTCACTTACACCTTACATGGCATATCTAGCACGATTCATTGCAATCTTATCATATTAGTGTTAATAATAAAATAACAACAACATAAAGTGTCTCAATTCCATACAGTGTCACACTCAGTAAACCAGTGAATTCCCAGGTCCTTTAAGATGCCAAACAATGCTTATGAGGGATTGAAATCCCCACATATCTGCTGGGAACACACACAGACAGACACTGTGTCCGTCTGTACCCCTATGTTCACTCTTCTAGAAAATGATGATGAATTTTGTACACAATCTGGCTTGTGAGGTATCACTTGAAAACGCATAATCGACTGAATATTATCCTCCTGTTAAAATGTGTAGCAACACTGAATGTAAAGTTATGAGATTTTATTGTGTGATATTACTGAAAAAGTTACAATTCTGGGGAACACCCACAGACCAGTTCCTCAGAGACAGCAAGGCAAACAGCTGGTCAAACAGCCATTCTCCGGCTGGGGTAAGGTGTGAAGAAGACATTTACATTCCACCACAGGGACCACTTGAAGCTCATATCCATAACAGACAGCCTGTCACCATGACTAAGCTGAGAGCTGAAGTTGTTTCTAGTACAAAGGACTGAATTACAAAAAGAGGTGAGGAAAATGCTTGAGACTCTCTCTCCCCCCTTTCCCTCTGCTCATGACAACTCCTGGAAAACTGAACTTGGGCAGTAGGGGTGAGTTGGGGGAGTCCTGGCTGAAAGGAGAGTCAGCCTGTCTCAGCATATGGTTAGAGAAACATTTGCTTTGAATCCATTTTAGCTTGTTAAGTTAGACGTTAGTTTGTGTTTTATCTTGCATTTCTTTTGTAAACAATTCTGACTTTTATGCCTCATTACCTGTCGTCACTTAAAATCTCTTTTTTTTTTTTGGTAGTTAATCTTGTTTTATAGTTTTATCTAACCAGTGTGTTTGGATTAAAGTGTGTTGGAAACTCCATTTGGGATAACAAGGCTGGGGCATGTCATTTTTCCACTGATGAAATGACAGACTTCATATGAGCTTGCGTTGTTCAGTAGAGGGCTGGACAGTGAAAGATGCACATTTCTGGAGGAAAGTCTGGGACCAGAGAATTTTCTGGGGTTCTCCGGTGCTGCACTGTAATTTGTGAGTCACTGTCTATCGGCACTCAATACTGTGTAGCTGGGAGCGAGATACATGCTGGAGACTGTGTGTTTGTGATGAAGCGGAACTGTTCTTAATGTTTCCTCTGAATATTGTGGGGGTGCCTCAGTTTCCCCTATGCAGTTCTTAAGTATTTAGGGGGTGGGATAAGGATGTATTGTTGCAGAGCCCTAGAGGGCAGGTATGTGCAGGGGTCTGGACAGAGAATGGCCAACACCCTGTTTCCTGGCAACTGATGGCCTGGGCCCTTCTCTCTGCAAGGTGAGAGCTAAAGGGTTGGAGAACAAAGGAATCAGGTGATTTCCTGGCCCGGAAAGGGACAAAGCCCAGAGGAGGAGGGGCTGGAGGGGGAGGGAGTTTGGGGCTGGAGGGGGACATGGAGGGAAGTACAGATGTGGTTCTCTGGCTCACTGCCCCTCAAAATGGGCCCAGCTACAAGCTCTGTTTTAGACTATGTTCCTGTCATGTAATAAACCTCTGTTTTACTGGCTGTCTGAGAGTCATGTCTGGCTGCAAAGTTGGGGTGCAGGACCCTCTGGCTTCCCCAGGACCCTGCCTGGGCGGATTTGCTGTGGGAAGCGCACGGAGGGGCAAAGGATGCTGAATGCTCCCAGGTCAGACCCAGGAAGGTGGAAGCTGTGTCCTGAAGACAGTCTGCTCACAGAAAGGAGACTTTCCCAGAGTCCTGACTGGCTTCGTGGGGAGCAGTTCCAGAGCATTGCCCAAAGACTCCGTGACAGTGTTAACTGCCCAGGAGTGGCTGTTCTCACAGTAAAGCAGTGTAAAAGGCACCCCAACTTGGGGAACTGAGGGGACACAGCAGTTCACCAGTCCACCAGATTGTACTGTGGTTAACGTCACAGACACTCAATTTCAAAGAGTCTCCTAAAACACACAGAAAGTAAATCCATGTCCCACAAATCGAAGACTCCAGACAGATGGCAAGTCTCCCTGGCACTGCTTCTTACTGACACAGAGGTCCAGAGACAATGAAAAAGTCCTGGGGAAGCTGGGAACAGTAAGCATGGGCTGGTGGGGTTCAGTGGAGAAAGGGAACAGGAAGGGCAGGGATATTACTGAATGCAGGATCTCAGCAGTCCTAGATGTCAGGATAGCACATATTACAGCCCATTGGAAAACATAATCCCAACTATACATACAAAATAATGGGGTCTAAATTAGCTGTTACCACTCAAGAGAGGGATCTTGGAGTCACTGTGGATAGTTCTCTGAAAACATCCACTCAGTGTGCAGCGGCAGTCAAAAAGTGAACAGAATGCTGGAAATCATTAAGAAAGCAATAGATAATAAGACAGAAAATATCATATTGCCTCTATATAAATCCATGGTACACGCACATCTCAAATACTGTGTGCAGATGTGGTCGCCCCATCTCAAAAAAGATCTATTGGAATTGGAAAAGGTTCAGAAAAGGGTAAAAAAATGATTGGGGTGTGGAACAGCTTCTGTATGAGGAGCGATGAAAAAGACAGGGACTTTTCAGCTTAAAAAGGGACAAATGGGGGATATGAGAGAGGTCTATAAAATCATGACGGGTGTGGAGAAAGTAAACAAGGAAGTGTTATTTACTCCTTCTCATAAGACAAGGACTAGGAATCACCAAATGAAATTAATAGGCAGCAGGTTTAAACAATACACAGTCAACCTGTGGAACTATTTGCTGTAGGATGTCATGAAGGCCAAGACAAGGGTTCAAAAAAAGAACATGATAAACTCTAGAAGACAGGTCCATCAATGGCTATTAGCCAGGACAGACAGGGATGGTGTCCCTAACATCTCTTTGCCATTAGCTGGGAATGGGCGACAGGGGATGGATCACTTGATGATCACCTGTTCTGTTCATTCCCTCTGGGGCACCTGGTGCTGGCCCCCTGTCGGAAGACAGGATACTGGGCTAGCCGGACCTTTGGTCTGACCCAGTATGGCAGGATTTATATGCTAGGGAATCTAAGGAGTCCAGTGCAATGGGAAGGAGTAGGAAAATCCCTGGCTGTGGAGAACACTGGGAAATTAGAAGCAATAATTCAGGAGCAACAGACTCTAATTAGACTGGAAAAGCAGAATGTGAAAAATGAGAATTGGGGTCATGTGACTTTGCAATGAGGGACTAAAAAAATCTAAGATGCCTGCAGAGAAGAGAGATTGTGGCTTTTACACATGGCGATTGGGGGGGGGGGGGGGGGGGGGAGACTCTCCATGTATCAAGAAGCTTTACTACCAACCTAAGCCATTTTCACATGCTGGGGTACAATCCAGATCAGTGAGGAGTTGTGTCGTCTGTAATCCTGGGTGAGACTCAATGTTCTGCTGCTGGAGCTCCCCTCTCTGGATACCCCCCGCCAGCATTCAAGGACGCATTGAGTGTCTGTGTGATCAGTAACCCTGGACCAGCAGCTCTGACTCCAGCAGCCTGCTTCTTACACCCCAAGCACATTCTGGTCTGGGTGGAGTAGGCTCAGGGTTTCAGAGAAGGCCAGAGGTCGGAAGCTTCTGTTCATTATGCTGAACCTAACCCCCCGTTTTACTTGAGTAAACAGGAGATCTTAGACACCGTGTGATACTGCTCCTGTGCTGTGCTCCCAAAGTGTTCTGCAGCAGGGGAGGGTCGCTGGTCGTGTGTGTGTCACTGGCATGTTGGGGTGATGCTGAAACAGGACACAGCAGAGGTGCATTGTGGGGGTGGCCTAAACCGTATCTCTTCATTTCCCCTTCCAAGAAATGAGGGGACAGGAATCCTTACCCAGCGAGGTCACATTCTCATAGTTCTCCTGCATGACGTCTCTGCAGAGGGCTCTCTGAGCGGGGTCCAGCAGAGCCCACTCTTCCCTGGTGAAATACACAGCCACCTCCTCGAAGGTCACCGGCCCCTGAAAGAGCAAGAGTCCAACACTCAGTACCTGCTGCCCCACTCACAGCCCCACTAGTCGTGGGGGAGAGCAGCCAATCAAATTGGAGCTCTGGGAGGCTCGCTGTCAAAAGAGTTCCAACCCCCCACAAGGCTCCGAGCATCCAGGAAACACCAGGGTGAGGGGACGAAGAGAGAGCCCCTCGTCTCTCCCAGCTGATCCATCACACACCTACTAGCCACAGACTGATACGGGAGATGGAGCCCTTAGCAGGGTCCAGGGAGAGCTCCCTGGTAGGAAGCCCAACACCCCGCTCATTGTGAGGAGCTGGATATGAGGAAGGGGTATCTCCCCTAAGTCTGACTGGTGGGTGCCCCCAACATATGTCTCAGCAGCCACTGGTTAGTCGGGTCAGGCTCCAACGCTATGAGTCTGGTCAGTTTTCCCAGCTCCATGTAGGTGAGTTATTTTCTGTTTCACAAATCAGGGCATTTCCACCTCTGAACCTCATGGGTCTGTTCCTAGAATCTAGGCCACTTATTAAACAACTCCCAGCAGCTTTGCCACCCTCTCTCCTCCTCGCTTTCTCCACCATGGGCATTTCCTGCCCCACTCCAACCTCCAAACCAGACGGTGCAAACCTTCCCATCTCCAGTGTATTTGCTGTCCCTCTCCCTCCTTCAGGAACCCACCAGGAACCCCCCGATAATCCCTTCATGACCTGGCTCCTCTGCAGTCATTTCTCTCCCCTGTCCCATGGGAGGATGGGATGAGCTGGAGCGAAACATGGACATCATTCTGCAGCCTGGCTGGGTGAGAAGGGACATTCTGGACGTTTCAGAACAGGCTTTAGTTAATTTCACATCACGATTCCCCCAGGCCCTTTCCCTGCAGACAGACATACCTGCTGCAAAAATGCTTGATCACTTTATTACAGTGTAGACCTGGCCCCTCTTGCCAGGCTAAGCCCACAGAGAATTTTTTAACCTCCCTTCCCTCACCCCGTAACAAAGTCTCTGAACACAATGCTAGAAAAGAGCAGAACCAAAGGAGTCACTGTGGGGGATTCCCTCGGACATGGACCCCAGGGCAGCCACACCCCAGAAGGGGAATATGGAGTCAGGAACTGGCATTTACTCTTTCTGATCCTTCCCTGGGCAGAATCACTTTCCAGTGAACAAGAGATGCTGCAATACATATGTCTGGCTGGACTAGAAAGCTGGAAATCTCTCTCCCCACTCATTTCTACCACTGCCCCTTTCAGTCTCTCCTTCCCCTGCCCTCTCTCCCTGCCCCTCTGGCTGAGAAAGTCCCATTCCTGGGTTCTTTGGTCTCCCATGCTGGATTTACTCCTGGCAATTGCTAATGGGAGGAGAAATGAGGAGGGGCTGTTTGTGGAGAGTCAATTTCATGCCAGTTCCCAGCACTTTCCCTGAGGTCTTTCAGTTACCTGGAGTCCGTGGCTGACAATTTAGTATTAACGGGCCCAGGGCTGCCCCAGGGGGCTAGTACCGGCTGGAGAAAGGCATCACCTGGGCCAGGCAGAGAAGAAGCTTTAACATCACTTCCCAGCACAGAACCCCCGCTGGGGGAGAAGCAGCTCTGAAGCCTGGTCTCCCAGATCACAATGGAGGCTGTAGCGTGTGACCCAGGGAGCTGAACCCCAATATCCTGAGCAGAGAGGGACAGAGCGTTTCAGCAGCCTTCCCTCCTTTAGCTCTATGGGGAGAGCAGCGAATGAGAGCATGTCCTCACAGGGAGAATTGCTCATCTCATTTGGCCCACTGTCCATCTGGAGTCACTCCTTGTCTTTCCATGCAGTGACTCTGGAGTGACAATGGTCTCAATGAAACCAGATTTCAGAAACAGCGAGTCCAGAATACTGTGGAAGAGATCATTTGTGTGGCAATGCTAACCCCCTTCCCACCTCCCTCACCCCACAGATCTAGGACAAGGACTCAGGGAACGAATTTTCCCCACAGAACCGGAAATTCCTGCAGTTTTCAAGAGAGGAGAAAAGCAAAATCTGTGTTTGATAAGTGGATAGAAAGTTACCACAGTGACTGGGCATGGCTGAGAAATGACAGGCAGTGCTTGGAGCCAGGATTCTGACACAAGCTGATCAGGGAGAAGGAGCATGGTTAGTAGCAGCCTCCACAGCCAGGGTCCCCCAGACACCCCCCAGTACCAAGAGCCCAGCCCCCCCTGCCAGGATGCCACCAGATATTCCCAGGGACCCAGCCCCCAGAGTCCATGACCAGGTACCCCAGATGCCCCTCAGGGCCCCAGCAGCCAGGGAACCCCCACCAGACCTTCACTGCAAGCCTCAGAATCCCAAAGGGTTCCCTCACCAAGAGCCCCCAGCAGCCAGGGGACCCCACCCCAAAGGGACCCCCCCACTGGGAACTCAGCCTCTCACTGCTTGCCTGGGATTCCCCCACTGCCTGCTAGGACCCCTGCCTGTCCTCCATCAGGATCTGCCATGCCGTTTGCCTAGGACCCCCTCCTCCTCCCAGCGGGACCACCTGATGCTTTACAGCGGGACCCCTCACGCTGTTTGCCTGGCATCCCCTGACCTAGCACTGGAGATTCCACCCTCCCACCTCTGTGTACTGGGCATGGCAACGATCCCAGGAGCCAGCGGGTGAAGCTCAGACATAGCCCTTGGCACAGCACCAGGCACCATCTAACCCCCTGCCCCAACTCCCCAAGAGTCGCCCACCCCCGCTGTTTTGTGGCCAACAGGCCTCCTGCAACACCCACCTCCAGGACCCATAGCCTTAGCGCTGGACACATCAGAACTACCTCCTGAAACCCCAAACCTCCAGAACCCACCAACCTGACTAGGGTACCCCCTGCCCAGTCACCCAGAGGCCTCCCACTACCACAATGCCCCTTCAGCTCCAGCTGCAATCTCCCCACACAGACACGCATTCCCCCCGCCCCCCGAACAGTGTTAGCTCATAGAATATCAGAGTTGGAAGGGACCTCAGGAGGTCATCTAGTCCAACCCCCTGCTCAAAGCAGGACCAAACCCCAACTAAATCATCCCAGCCAGGGCTTTGTCAAGCCTGACCTTAAAAACTTCGAAGGAAGGGGATTCCACCAACTCCCTAGGTAACCCATTCCAGTGCTTCACTACCCTCCTAGGGAAAAAGTTTTTCCTAATATCCAAACTAAACCTCCCCCACTGCAACTTGAGACCATTACTCCTTGTTCTGTCATCTGCTACCACTGAGAACAGTCTAGATCCATCCTCTCTGGAACCCCCTTTCAGGTAGTTGAAAGCAGCTATCAAAACCCCCCTCATTCTTCTCTTCTGCAGACTAAACAATCCCAGTTCCCTCAGCCTCTCCTCATAAGTCATGTGATCCAGATCCCTAATCATTTTTGTTGCCCTCCGCTGGACTCTCTCCAATTTTTCCACATCCTTCTTGTAGTGTAGGGCCCAAAACTGGACGCAGTACTCCAGATGAGGCCTCACCAATGTCGAATAGAGGAGAACGATCACGTCCCTCGATCTGCTGGCAATGCCCCTACTTATACACCCCAAAATGCCATTGGTCTTCTTGGCAACAAGGGCACACTGTTGACTCATATCCAGCTTCTGGTCCACTGTCACCCCTAGCTCCTTTACTGCAGAACTGCTGCCGAGCCATTCGGTCTCTAGTCTGTAGCAGTGCATTGGATTCTTCTGTCCTAAGTGCAGGACTCTGCACTTGTCTTTTTTGAACCTCATCAGATTTCTATTGCCCCAATCCTCTAATTTGTCTAGGTCCCCCTGTATCCTATCCCTGCCCTCCAGCATATCTACCTCTCCTCCCAGTTTAGTGTCATCTGCAAACTTGCTGAGGGTGCAATCCACACCATCCTCCAGATCATTAATGAAGATATTGAACAAAACCAGCTCCAGGTCCGACCCTTGGGGCACTGCGCTTGATACCGGCTGCCAACTGGACATGGAGCCGTTAATCACTATCCGTTGATGTAGCCAGCTTTCTATCCATCTTATAGTCCATTCATCCAGCCAATACTTCTTTATCTTTCTTCCAAGAATACTGTGGGAGACCGTGTCAAAAGCTTTGCTAAAGTCAAGGAACACCACGTCCACTGCTTTCCCCTCACCCACAGAGCCAGTTATCTCATCATAGAAGGCAATTAGATTAGTCAGGCATGACTTGCCCTTGGTGAATCCATGCTGACTGTTCTGATCACTTTCCTCTCCTCTAAGTGCTTCAGAATTGATTCCTTGAGGACCTGCTCCATGATTTTTCCAGGGACCGAGGTGAGGCTGACTGGCCTGTAATTCATAGAATCATATAATCATAGAATATGAGGGTTGGAAGGGACATCAGGAGGTCATCTAGTCCAACCCCATGCTCAAAGCAGGACCAATCCCCAATTTTTGCCCCAGATCCCTCAATGGCCCCCTCAAGGATTGAACTCACAACCCTGGGTTTAGCAGGCCAATGCCCAAACCACTGAGCTTTCCCTCCCCCCAGGGCCTCCTTCTTCCCTTTTTAAAGATGGGCACTACATAGTCACAGTGTGTGACAAGTGGATAGGATGTCATCACTGCCCACTGCTGGCCATTCACACAGGCAGAAGGAGCCCTGGGGGATGCTTCTTTAACAGGGTAATGGAAGGCATGGAGGGCCAAAATAGGTAAGAAATTTCCATGCCCTGTCACTAGCAAATAATAGCCACCAGGGATCCACCCCAGAAGCGGCTACATCTTAGCACTGTGGGAAGCAACCTCTCACAGAGACCATTTGTCTTGGGGTTTGGGATACTTCTGAACCCACGCTGCACTCCGAATGACCTCCTCATCTGGTGCCAGCTGGAGAAAAGAAAAGGGTCCAGCCAACTCTCCTACCAGCAGCTGATCCCCCAAACAGGGGGAGGCCTCTGGCTTTGATGTGTATTAAATATGTGGCTGGTCTCTTTCATCGGCAAACATTTAGCAGACGTAAAGTGGGGAACAAACGATTCTCAAAGAAGGGGGGATGATCATCACTGGGCAATTTAACCCCCAGGTTGGAGAACGACTCAAGGCAACAGGTTCCCTCCAAGGAAGGAGAAGTTGCTGGGATTTAGGAACATGTGGAAGAGCCCCAAACCCAAGAGGATTTTTAATTGACATTTGATAATGACATAGAAAGAGGCAAAACCTGAGATAGGAGATCAATGTTCAGAAATGAATGAGAAAAAGGGTGGAAATCGGAGGGATTTTGAATCCATTTTTGTAAATTAGAGAGAGGAAAGTGGAAAATCAGAGAGATTTTATATCAGTTGTTGATATGAGGTAAAATTGGAGCGTGTTTCACATGAATATTTGATAAATGAATAGAGAGAATATGGGCAACATTGGCAAGCATTTTATATCCATGTTCAAGAATCTGGCAAAAGATGTAAATCTGAGATTTTCTTAGTATTTTATAATTAGAGAGACAGGGTGAAATCTCAGGGCATATTCAATTAGAACTAGACAACTAGACAAAAGTAGGGAAAATGTTTAGGGTATTTTATATGGATCTTTGAGATTTTCAGAAAAAAGTGTCAAACTATGCAATTGAGAACATGAGAGAAAAACACCAAGATCGGAGGGGATTTTATATTGCAATTAAATAATTAGAGGGAAAAGGGGGACTGTTTGAAGGGATTTTATATGACTGTCCAATACATAAACAGAAAGTGATGGTCCCCCCCACCATTCACATGGGCAGCAGGGAGCCCTCTGAGGAGCTGACTGAAGAGGGCAAAGGAGGGGGAGCTGGAGGGCTCCCTGGGTGTGGCAGTTCAGGGGCAGCAAGTGGGACTGGGAACCCGGGGTCTGGGGCAGTGCCCATGGGGGACACTTGCTCCTCCCTTCCCCGCCCTGGTAGAGAACCGGCGTCTCCTCCCACCCCCACTCCAGGGGCAGCCAGGTTTTGAAGAATGACTCAGGTCAACAATTTCCCACCTAAACAAGGACAAATCACTGCAGATAAAAGGGGTGGAGGAGGAGGAGATTTTAATGGGAGGAGATTTTAAACGGACATTTGAGAATTAGGGAGAGACGGGGGGGGGGGGGGGGTGAGGAGAGACGAGAGAGCGGATCATTTGAGGGGAAAGGGGGGGGATCGCCCCGGAGTTTGCAGCCACGTGGGAGATGCTGAGAGAGAAAAGGGGACGAGCCGGAGGGAATTTGTATCGGGGCTGAGAGGCGAGGGGCACAAACAGGGACAGGATCCAATTAACTCCCCCCCTTCCCCCGCCCCCCACTTCCCCCCCGGGAATTTCCTGGCTGCACAGAGACAGTTCAACCCCCCCCCGCCGGACACCCCCCTCCCCCCAGGGGACCCCCCCGCCGGGCCCCAGTCTCTGCCCCCCCCCATCCCAGCGGGGCCGGGGGCAGATCCTGGCGGCTCCGCTGGGGCTGAGGCAGCTCCGAGGCTTCTCCCCGGTTCCCGGGGGCAGAGAGTCGCTTCCCCCCCCCGCCCGGGGTCTCTCGCTCACCGGGGGGGCTGCGGGCGGGGCCCGGGGGGCTGCCCAGGGGCTGGTCCCAGCTGCAGAAAGCCCCCCCCGGCCGGGCACGGAGGGGTTAATGACGGGCCCCCCAGCAGAGACCGGGGGGGGGGGGAGGGACAGCAGCTGCTCAGCCGCGGCTCCTGGGTCATACGGAGGCAGCAGCGGAAGTGACGTTGTTCTTCAGGGAGGATGAGCATGCGCAGTAACAGCTGCTGAACCTCTCCCTCACCTGGGCTGGAGACGGTAGAAGCCCCCCCCCCCAAGCAGGCTAGGAGAGGAAGTTTCTGAGTTCCCAGGAGCGGAAGTGACGTTGGGCAGGGGGGAGGAGGAACCCGGCTGTGAAGGCGCGCGCGGCGCTGCGGCTCTGCCTGGCTCGTGCGGGGCAGTTGGAGCCTCTCACGGACTCGGAGGAGGGTTTTGTGTCTCCCGGCTCTGGGCATGCGCAGGGGGCGAGTCGGGCATGCGCAGAGGCAGAGCTCACCTGCGGCGGCGGGGCCGGGCTGGGCCAAAGGGTCTGTGCCGGGGAGACCTTCGTTCACCCCCCCCCCCCCGAGCCCCGCTCCCGCTGGGGCCGCCCCGGGCTCCGCCCGCCCCGCTGCGGAGCTGCAGCCTCCAGGTACCGGAGCGAGCCCCGGGGCCGGGCGGAGACGCTGC